ACTTTCGTAACGATTTATAATCGATTATTTTTATCCACAATTTCATTTCTATATAGTTCATGGTAAACTTTTCTTGACCTTTTAAAATATTTATGTCCATTATACAGTGGTTTCCAATTGTCTTTTTCCGTTTTCTTTTTTTTTCCTCCATAGACAGAAATCGAGAGTGGGTTTAGAGGGCTTATTCTCCAAAATACTTCATTAGCCCTAATTTCATTCCCTCGTAAAATATATTTTTAAACGGGAATAAGTACTATTTTCAAAAATTTTTTAGGGAGGAATCAAAGAAATATTCAGGAAGATAATTTCTCCAAGCCCTCTAAATTACCTTCCATGTTATCCCTTTATAGTGTTATTCATTTTCTCATGAAGAATTTATACCTATTTCAATATATTTTTAGAAGTCATTTGTAATTTCCTATATTTCTTATATCATTATTATAATGTTTAATGTACTAGAAAAATGATAAAATTCTCTAAGCTATGATTTAATGCTAGAATTTTATTAACAAAAGTTAGTGCTCATATTAATTATATTAATTTATTGAACATTTAATAAAATATGTTGAGATCACTTACTTTCGACTGAATGTTTCATTTAATTATTAAGTAAGACGATAGTAAACGAATTTTACATCTTGACATTCTAAATACAAAATAAAATAAAACGTGTTCACTTATTTTCAATAATAAATGACATTACATAGTATACAAGTATGTAATACAGATAAGATGTTACAAAAATATTCTTCCACGTTGAAAAACAACACTTTACTAATAGCGTTAAAATCAAATTTGTGACACAAAAGCTAAATACTTTTACGCACATACTATTTTAAAAGCTTTCATTTCTTGATGCCTAAAAGCATGTAATGAAATTTTCTAAGAATATTCTTCTTTTTTTTTCACATACATTAAGCAATTCCCTTTTGGTGTAAATTTAATCATTTTTTTTTTTAAAGAACTCTTCAAAAATAATATTTTATAAGAAACAATAAAAATAACTGTTTTAAGTAGCATAATCTTACTTATTTATTAAAGTTTGCTAAAATGAATTCTTAAAATTCAATAGTTTAAGATAAATTCATATGACATATACATTACATTGTATTCATCACATATCCTAGGCTGAGTAATTTAATTATTTTTGTCTAAAATTTGAAACGAATTCGACAATATTTACTCTATAACATTATAATATATTTAATGTCATTGATAGAACCTCAAATCAATAGTCATATTGATATCACATGTTATCACGTAAAGACATGTGCTTAATTAAAAACATATACTTTTCATTGTATATTTTTGTAGCTTCAAGAATTTTACGGGTTCTACATTTTAAATTAATTCTTGTGTACTTACGTGTAATTATAAATCCTGTATTTTTTATGTATAACTAAGTTTTCCAATAGTGTATATCAATTTTTTTTCCTATACGTAATATTTCATAAATACAACCCTAAATTTTTGTATAAAGAGTGTCCCATGATTATTAATTGTGAATACTTTTCATGTTCAATGTGTAAAAGTTTGAAATCACAATGTTTTTATAAAAATTATAGTAGTCACTACCGATCGCTGTTAAAAATATACATATACAAAGTATTGCATTTGTGATAAATTATATGTTGATCAAACAACTAAAATATTATTGAGATTTTTTTGGTGTCCTTTAATTATATATTTTTTTAAATTTATTAATCAAAAAGTTTATTTCATGTTCATTCCCTTAAACCTTATTAGGGCGTTAGCTTTATTTTTTCAAACAGAAACATACACATTTAACTAGCTTATTTAATAAATAATGATTAATCTAAGAAAATGACTGGTCAATAACAGTCTTTGGACCAGTATTTTAGAACTTAACATTTTATAGTGATGACTGGAGAAATAATTCAGGTGTTGTTATTTTTATCACTAGACATTTCCTAATGTACTCTTTCTGCTGCAATGGTATATAAATGTCAATAACTTCCGAAATACTGATACAAAAGTTGTTATCAACCAGTCATTTACTTAATTATATCACTACTCATTATATAAAACAAGTTAATTATGTATGTGAACATAACAATGGTTATTTGAAAAAATAAATATATAAAAAAATAATGAACAAAACATAAAAATAAAAAATACTTCATGTTTGATAAATTAACAAATACATATACTTCAAAGAATTCAAATAAAAAGTTCTCAATAATATATTTTTTTTAATTAATAAAAGGCTTATGATAAATTAATTATCATTACAATATTGAAAAAATCATTTTTGATTTCTTTTAGTTACATACAATTTTTGATTTATGAGTTAATAATTATTTTTTAGAATTATCTTTTACGACATATAGGGGTATCAACCTTATATTTTTAAGTGGCAACATACAATTTTCACTAGCTTATAAAGTAGGAAATAATTAATTAAGAAAATAACTGGTCGCAATTAACTTTTGGTACAGTTTTTCAGAAGTTATTAACAATTTAAAGTAATGACTGGGAGTGATGAGTGAGTTCTGCTATTTTGATCACTAGTAATTTCTTAATCGTATCTTCGCCAAGGTACAATAATGAGAATAGTATCCAAATGAATGGTCCAAAATATGTAATTGAAGAGTTAATTTTCTGAATTAGATCATTTTTAAGGTAAATAAATATGTATGTAACGATTTAAAAATATGAAATTGACACCCTATACGTTATAAGGGATGATTTTAAAAAGTTATAAATAGCTTAAGAAATAAATCTAATTAAAAAACATTAATTTTTTAAATTTCAATATTGTATTTATTATGAGAGTAATCAAGTGGTTTATGATAAACCAAATAATGAAGTGATCGGAAAAATTTCTTTCAAGTAAGTCAGAAATAGATGCGTATTGATGTTTAATTCCCAATTTAGGAAAAAAACCAAATACTTGACTTTGGGGGTGGTTTAGTTTTACTGGAGGCTAATTACTATACAAATGATTCATTACCTTAGGGCTTACAGCAAGTTGAAAAGTAAAATTGTGTTATTTCGACAGCCATTTACGCATAAAAAATAATATCCTGAACAAACTCTTTTCAACTCTAGTTCAATAAAATACAATCGTATTTTATTAGCTTTTGTTATAAAATGAAGTTTAAAAAGTTTAATTTGTCTACTTAATGATGTTATTTCGATAATCCCGCGAGAATAACAACAATCATTAGCCTAAAGTCTGTCTTATCAACACGGCGAAATAATCAAAAAATATTATCCTACTTCATATTAATATAATTTACATTCATTGGTCCCAAACAGTTGTAGGGCTACTTTTCAAACAATTCAAATATTAATTACTATTGTAAAAATTATAAACAATTGCTGTTATGGCTGTTATATTTGCTCAGAATATCTAAAAAAAAGTTTGTTAAAAAAAAATTGCGTGATGTTAAATAGATTTTTTTATGTATTTGTATTAAATTAAAAATAATATAAATAATAAGTTTTTTAAGTTCTTTTTCAATAAAAATTCAGTGTTATGAAATTATTATCTTCACCAAAATTACTAATTTTCAAATATTTTAAAAGTTTCTCTTACAAAAAATATAAATTTTAATATACTACTAATAAATTTTAAAAATCAATAGTACGTAATTATCCATAGAATAATAATATTCGAAAAGTTTATGATGACAATATCACCGAACACTAAATAAACCAATTAACATCGAGTAAAAAAAAAAGTATTCAATTAATTTAAATATAATTTTGAGACTTTTTCTGTATTAGCTTTGAATAATAATAGTTTTATGAAAAAATGATTAAATATTTTTATAGAAAAAATAATTTCTTACATATTGTCGTTTTAGTGTGGAAACTAATTAATAGTTATTTTATTCATTTGATGTACAAGCTTTTTTTTTTTTTAAGGTGATGTTGTTACACAACATAATACTTGAACCTAGTGCACTCTAACATTGTCTCCATAAAGTAATACGGGTGACTGGTCTTGCGGTGGGCAGTGAACAGAGAGCGTGCGAGACCGAACGGTTTTAAGGAATAGCTATTAGGGTTGAGATGTATAGCTATGATTATAATTATAGCAAATAAAATATTTATCTTAACTTCAATATTTTATTTCTACATCTTCAATTAACGTGATGGAACCAATCATCAATTATTTATTTAATAGCAATAATAGAAAATTGGATATAGGAGCTCTCTTACTAATTTGCAAAATAATTTAAGTATGTTGCTAAGGAAAATGATATATAGAAATAATGAATCTTGAGTGGTCGGTCCATTAAGTATTCACTACCGTAAAAAAAATAATTTAATAAAAAACTTCTATCTGAACTTTCAAGTAGTATTAACAAACTGTTAATACTAAATTTTTTATCATCCAAATGGAGTTAACAAAATATAAATGTGGTGATTCAATGCAAAGTGTTATCTTTTGGTGTGATAGTAAACCATTTTACGTCGGTAAATTGATGTAATAACAATGCATCATTAAAAAATATATATCAATTACTTCTATTACAAACCAATGTTTGTTGGTTTGTAAAAATAATTATATTTTTTACGGAGATGATAACAAATTAAAAATACCGTTAACGAGTTTCCATTCAAAGCCAACGATATGATTTATATGATTTAATATGTTATTAAAAGAAAACGTCAAATAAAAATATATTTAACAGCATATAATAGTATATGGTTTCACTACAGCGCTCTAGTATATAAATAATGAAAAACTCTGAAACGTATCATAGGACAATGTAAATAAAAATTATTTTAGTTAAAATAACTGAAGAAGATTATTTTAAATATCAATATAAATATTTTGCAATAAAATTAAATTTTGGAAATTTATGGCAATTGTGTAAGTAAATAAAAAAATACTAATCATAATTTATAACAGTTATTTTATAGAATGACTTTTAAGCAAGATACTAGAATTATTACTAATAGGTATTTTAAAAAGGTACTATCATGTTTCAAATGTTTATAAGAATTATTTTTAAAAAGCGCTCTACTTAAATATTTTGTTTATTGCAGTAAACAAATTATTCCACTAAACTTTTTGGTTTATAATAAATACAAGCAGTTACAAAAGATATTGACTTATAAAAAATTTAAGAATGTATTGGTTTAAACTTAAGCCAAATATTTTCTGGAGCATTAACAAAGCTTCCAATAATATATTTTATAGGTATTTGTGTTTTTTCACAAGGTAATACTTCGTATTTAGATAGAATTTCAGATAAAGCCAATTTCATTTCAATTTCAGCGAACCGTTTAGCTGAAAATAAAAAAAAGTTACAAAATCATATCTTGTTGTAGTTCACAAGTTTTTTATTCTAACCTATGCACTGTCGAGGGCCATCACCAAATGGCATATAAGTGTTCGGATGTAACTTGTTGATGTTTTCATCGGAAAACCGTTCTGGATCAAATTCATTAGGGTTTGGAAAATATTTACAGTCATAATGTAAAGATCTTACGGGTATGAGTATTTTAGTTCCATTTTCTAAAGTGATATTAGTATCCGGTAATGTGTATGGTTTAGTAACGACTCTTGTTAAAAATACAAGTGGAGGATATCTTCTCAGGGTTTCTAAAAATTAAGTATTTATTTTATATGAAAAACATAACAGTTTAGTACTTCATTAGTTATTTATTTTATACATTAATAGTAAAAATATCATTTAAATTAATTTTATTTTAAAATAATGAAATATTAAAACGTTTATAAATAGTTGTACGAATTAAGATAATTTTTTAGATTTTTAAGTGTATTTAGTAATACATGTAATTCATTGTATTATTATAATAATGAACTACTTTAAAATTTGGTTGAAACAAAAAATAATTTTTTGTTTCAATTTAATTATTAAATTCTCCATTTTTACCTTTGATAACCATGTTTAAGTATTGAAGATCACATAAGCAGTCATTATCTAATTTTCCATCATTCTTTGATTTTATTCCAATGATTTCCTCTCGAACTTTGTCCTGAATGTTTTTATGTAATGCAAGCTCATATAGACAGAAACTCATAGACGTGGATACAGTTTCAAAACCCGCAACAAATAAAATGTATGCATTTGCTACTATGTCCATTTCCGAAAATTTATCTATATAAATATTATAAGCAATATAAATTTCTTAAAAATTTATGTCGATAGTAAATTATACAGAATAACTGGTTCAGCAACTAAATATCTACCAATAAGTGAACACCACTGTATTCACTTATTAAGACACATGAATTTTATCTCTCTAGCATCAAAGTTGTGTAAAATGTTAATTTATGATGTATGAATTTAATGACAAAATTTAAAACGTTTATTTTGACCTTTAAATAGAATTGACAATTCAAAAATGCGTTCAATTACATCAGTTTTTTTAACTTAATTTTAATATAGACAATTTAATTATTATTTAATTTAACTAAAATATTCATAATTGTAAGTATATGAAATTATTAGTTTTAAATCCAGATATTAAAAGATAATTCAAATATATATAATCTATCATATAATTTTAAAATTCGATAAATCCTTAACTGTTGGATCACTAGATGATTTACCCTATTCATAAAAAAAATAATAATAAAATCACAAAATATAGTGCATATGTGATATACATGTATATTTAGAGTTATTGTTAACTTTTTATTTTTCCCTTTTAAGTTACCATAAAAAGTGCACAAAACAATATTTTTAACTTGTATAATAAAGAAAATGATAATATATTATTATTATTATAACAAAATATGTAAACAACTAAGTACAAAATTGTTTTTAAAACCATGCATATAAATTATTTTATTCAACTCAATTTTTATTCCGGATGTCTAATAACTTTTAATCAATATCAAATCAAAGATATTAAAGAATAGCATAAAATTAAAATAAACCAAACTAATCGATAGTGTACTACGTGAAATCAGTTAATAAAGTGAAAAATACTAATTCGTCTAATTATTTCCTATTGGTTTGTTTTTTGTTGTAAATAAACAGTCTCTAATAGAATATTAACCAAGTTTCAACAGTGCATTTTAAAATAGTAATGTATGTCACTATAAAATATTAATCTACACTGGAGTATATTATTCTGAGCTACAACTGTGCTATGGTTTTTTTAATAATCAATCGAATTTTTAACCTTAATTGTGGTTAAGCAATCTGCTAACTGTGTCTCACCCAATATTATCAAAAGTATGAAATAAACCTTAATTTTTTTTTGAAATTATTACATTCTGCACACCATAATTAATACACTATAAAATAATTATATCCATTCTTTTCCCCCTTAAAATTAAATCATTTTTGTTATTTTTTTTTTTTACCTAATTAGGATATTTTTCGTATATATTGTCACAACATATTTTTATTATTTATAAATTTAATTTTTTACTGTAATCATAAAAATTTAGACATTCTTTTGGTATATTTATATATGTTTTAAAATATACCTTTATCATTTAAAGCTGGGTTTAACACTAGATCTTCTCTAGCTTTCATAAGTTGTTGGACAACATCTTTCCGTTCAATTTTACTCTCAATCCTATGGTGAATAGTTTGTTGAAAAGCGTTTCGAAAAAAATCAATTGATTTTTGAGGTTGAAAACTTGACGGCATAAAGCGTAATAATGATGGTTGGGTTAAAAAAACAGATACAATAACGTGAGCCCTAATTGAAGGTTGAAAAGTAACTTTTCCGTAATTACGAAACTCCGACTCAGGATCATTGATAGTATCCAGGTCCAAACCAAAAGCACATTTTCCTATTACATCCGTTGAGTATTTGCCCATCATATCTCTAATTTCCATTTGACCAGAATATTTGATAAAATTTTCATTAATACATTCCAGTAAGCTATCACTGCATATTTTTATTTGTTCTATCATATATTTTAGCTTATTAGTAGTAAAAGTAGGACTAAGTTTTTGTCTCATAGTTCTCCATCGTTCACCGCCAGTTTGAAATATGTTATGACTTAAGGGGTTCTTAGGGTTATTCAGTGAACCTCGATCAGTGAAATAGTTGAAGTCTTTAATTAACACTTTACCTGAAAAAAATTTAGAAATAAATAAAATGTATTGTGATGATAGATTTGAATTTAGTAGAATTATCTTATCTAAAGTTATATTTATATTTTTACAACTTCTTTAATAGATATTTTAAACATTTTGAAGGCTTGTCTTTTCGTGGTCTTTAAAATACCTGTTGAATTAATTTATTTTCAGACTTGCATTTGATTATTTTATATTCCCCAATAATTATAAAATAATTGGTGTAACGACAAAGTTAACAACTTTCCATAATCCATAATCCCATCTCAAAGACAACAAATTTATAATTTTGAAAGTTTTATGTAAATTTTTTCGGCATTACAATAAACTAATTTAATAAATGAGATAAAATCATATAAAATTTATGATAATGTTATTACCAATGATCTCTGGATCTTTAATGAAAAATTCAGGTGTACGCATACTATATATCCCAACAAATGGTTCATCGTCAATTTTTCTATAAATATCTTCTAATACTTCCATAAAATGTTTCTTCAAAGTAATAGACTGAAAAACATGGCCAAATAATGGAACAGGTGACCATGGACATTTTACGCCTAATTTTGACCAATAATCATAATACCACGTAGTATACAAATATACACCAATAATTATTGCTGGCAAAAATGACAGCATAAAATCAAAATTATTGAAAATAATCGTTAACATTTTAAAAGAAAATGTTTAATACTATATTATTATATACTCAAATATACAACTCTATTCACTAATATTATAACTAACTTCCTGAAAATCTATTGAGCAACAAGAGATAAAAATATATATTAAGTCTATTAACTGATAAACCATACAATTCGAGGAGGGGCAAAATGCAAAGATGTAAATTTAATTTTTCCATCTATTTAATCAATTATCCTATTATGTTTTAATGAAGTGTTGTGAATAACAAAAACAATCTTTTTTTTATCAATTAACCTCTGTGCTGTATTACATAATTCTTATGTATAAACATATATCATATGCTTATACATATATCTGTATATATATTTGATTTACAATTTAATACTAACATGTAATTGTTATAAAAATAACTTGCATTATTCTACGGGATATCGAGTCATGATATTAATAATTAACACATCCAGACAAAATAACCTACATTTATTTAATGTACTTTTGACAAAAAGAATAGGTCAATGGTGCTAATTAAGAATTGAGTCATTCAAAAAACTACTAATTCTCAATAAACACACATCAGATGATAAACTACTAGATATTAAAATATTATTAAAGTTGATTATTACTATAAATATAGCATCAAATAATCCAGTTTGTGAAATATAGTATGAAAAATGTGAGTTAATTAGAAAAAAAATTCATATTTTATTATAANCGCTACTATGCAATGTCTCCACTATGCCGCGACCCCACTGTGCTACCGTTTTTTAACTTAATTTTAATATAGACAATTTAATTATTATTTAATTTAACTAAAATATTCATAATTGTAAGTATATGAAATTATTAGTTTTAAATCCAGATATTAAAAGATAATTCAAATATATATAATCTATCATATAATTTTAAAATTCGATAAATCCTTAACTGTTGGATCACTAGATGATTTACCCTATTCATAAAAAAAAAAATAATAAAATCACAAAATATAGTGCATATGTGATATTCATGTATATTTAGAGTTATTGTTAACTTTTTATTTTTCCCTTTTAAGTTACCATAAAAAGTGCACAAAACAATATTTTTAACTTGTATAATAAAGAAAATGATAATATATTATTATTATTATAACAAAATATGTAAACAACTAAGTACAAAATTGTTTTTAAAACCATGCATATAAATTATTTTATTCAACTCAATTTTTATTCCGGATGTCTAATAACTTTTAATCAATATCAAATCAAAGATATTAAAGAATAGCATAAAATTAAAATAAACCAAACTAATCGATAGTGTACTACGTGAAATCAGTTAATAAAGTGAAAAATACTAATTCGTCTAATTATTTCCTATTGGTTTGTTTTTTGTTGTAAATAAACAGTCTCTAATAGAATATTAACCAAGTTTCAACAGTGCATTTTAAAATAGTAATGTATGTCACTATAAAATATTAATCTACACTGGAGTATATTATTCTGAGCTACAACTGTGCTATGGTTTTTTTAATAATCAATCGAATTTTTAACCTTAATTGTGGTTAAGCAATCTGCTAACTGTGTCTCACCCAATATTATCAAAAGTATGAAATAAACCTTAATTTTTTTTTGAAATTATTACATTCTGCACACCATAATTAATACACTATAAAATAATTATATCCATTCTTTTCCCCCTTAAAATTAAATCATTTTTGTTATTTTTTTTTTTTACCTAATTAGGATATTTTTCGTATATATTGTCACAACATATTTTTATTATTTATAAATTTAATTTTTTACTGTAATCATAAAAATTTAGACATTCTTTTGGTATATTTATATATGTTTTAAAATATACCTTTATCATTTAAAGCTGGGTTTAACACTAGATCTTCTCTAGCTTTCATAAGTTGTTGGACAACATCTTTCCGTTCAATTTTACTCTCAATCCTATGGTGAATAGTTTGTTGAAAAGCGTTTCGAAAAAAATCAATTGATTTTTGAGGTTGAAAACTTGACGGCATAAAGCGTAATAATGATGGTTGGGTTAAAAAAACAGATACAATAACGTGAGCCCTAATTGAAGGTTGAAAAGTAACTTTTCCGTAATTACGAAACTCCGACTCAGGATCATTGATAGTATCCAGGTCCAAACCAAAAGCACATTTTCCTATTACATCCGTTGAGTATTTGCCCATCATATCTCTAATTTCCATTTGACCAGAATATTTGATAAAATTTTCATTAATACATTCCAGTAAGCTATCACTGCATATTTTTATTTGTTCTATCATATATTTTAGCTTATTAGTAGTAAAAGTAGGACTAAGTTTTTGTCTCATAGTTCTCCATCGTTCACCGCCAGTTTGAAATATGTTATGACTTAAGGGGTTCTTAGGGTTATTCAGTGAACCTCGATCAGTGAAATAGTTGAAGTCTTTAATTAACACTTTACCTGAAAAAAATTTAGAAATAAATAAAATGTATTGTGATGATAGATTTGAATTTAGTAGAATTATCTTATCTAAAGTTATATTTATATTTTTACAACTTCTTTAATAGATATTTTAAACATTTTGAAGGCTTGTCTTTTCGTGGTCTTTAAAATACCTGTTGAATTAATTTATTTTCAGACTTGCATTTGATTATTTTATATTCCCCAATAATTATAAAATAATTGGTGTAACGACAAAGTTAACAACTTTCCATAATCCATAATCCCATCTCAAAGACAACAAATTTATAATTTTGAAAGTTTTATGTAAATTTTTTCGGCATTACAATAAACTAATTTAATAAATGAGATAAAATCATATAAAATTTATGATAATGTTATTACCAATGATCTCTGGATCTTTAATGAAAAATTCAGGTGTACGCATACTATATATCCCAACAAATGGTTCATCGTCAATTTTTCTATAAATATCTTCTAATACTTCCATAAAATGTTTCTTCAAAGTAATAGACTGAAAAACATGGCCAAATAATGGAACAGGTGACCATGGACATTTTACGCCTAATTTTGACCAATAATCATAATACCACGTAGTATACAAATATACACCAATAATTATTGCTGGCAAAAATGACAGCATAAAATCAAAATTATTGAAAATAATCGTTAACATTTTAAAAGAAAATGTTTAATACTATATTATTATATACTCAAATATACAACTCTATTCACTAATATTATAACTAACTTCCTGAAAATCTATTGAGCAACAAGAGATAAAAATATATATTAAGTCTATTAACTGATAAACCATACAATTCGAGGAGGGGCAAAATGCAAAGATGTAAATTTAATTTTTCCATCTATTTAATCAATTATCCTATTATGTTTTAATGAAGTGTTGTGAATAACAAAAACAATCTTTTTTTTATCAATTAACCTCTGTGCTGTATTACATAATTCTTATGTATAAACATATATCATATGCTTATACATATATCTGTATATATATTTGATTTACAATTTAATACTAACATGTAATTGTTATAAAAATAACTTGCATTATTCTACGGGATATCGAGTCATGATATTAATAATTAACACATCCAGACAAAATAACCTACATTTATTTAATGTACTTTTGACAAAAAGAATAGGTCAATGGTGCTAATTAAGAATTGAGTCATTCAAAAAACTACTAATTCTCAATAAACACACATCAGATGATAAACTACTAGATATTAAAATATTATTAAAGTTGATTATTACTATAAATATAGCATCAAATAATCCAGTTTGTGAAATATAGTATGAAAAATGTGAGTTAATTAGAAAAAAAATTCATATTTTATTATAAATTTATATTAGGTGGACCTTGTACGATATTATACAACTTATTTCTATTTTTAATTTTTTTTTTTTAGTAGGATTCATTAAATTAAGTTAACATTAAAATTATCCCAAAAATGTATGAAATGAAAGTTGATTGAATATTTTTTGTTTTAAGATAGTAAATTATGTAAATATCAGTTAGAAAACCAGTAACTATTTTATCATTTTTACTTGAAGTTTTTTATATCCAATAAAAAAAAAATGAATAAAATATTTGTAATTACTTTTAAATAGGGTTGCCTGTGAAATAATTTTTCTAAGGGTATTATATAAGTTACATGCATAGGGACAAATACGGAAGTACTTCGGTTACTTAGAACCCTCATGGAAGTCATCAGTATCCTCAGATACGTTTTCAAAAAAACTTTCTACGTGACGCAAAAATTATTGATAATAGTTTAATCCATAGAGACATCATTCCTTCCACGAAATTCATAACACACATCATAACACAACAACCTATTTTTCTACTGAAAATTGTATTTTTGGATATGAGATTAAGAGGATTGCAAGTGAGGAAAACATTCATAAAATATATATTATAAATTTCTATTATGATTTTAAATAATTGTCCAATGACCCCCTCTCCGTAAAAATTTCAATATACGCACCAATAATATCAATAAATAAACACTTCACTAGTAAAAATTTAACAACAAAACCTATTGATACAAAGACTGGAATGTTTGGACTGAATAATAAATTTTAATTATCCTAATTGGCAATTTTAGATATTTATGAATCGGTGTACTTTTTAAATTGTCATAGATATTGATTTCCAACTTTTGATTAATGATTCTAAGCATTTGTGTGTGGTGATTTTCAATAAAATTAATACGATATATGTGGATTTAAAAATAGTTGTTATTTATTTGGGATATGAATTAAGTTTAAGATCCTAATTATATTCCAAAATAAATTTTAGAGTTCCTATTAAATTAAATTTTTTTTTCTTACATCTTATAAATAATTAAATCACATATTAGCATTTTACTTAAATATTTTATTATTATAAAATTAAAATTCTAAAAAAATAGTATTTCAGTATTTAAAAAAAATGTTGCGATATTTTTAGACTGCAATAAAAGACAAATTATAATTAGTCGTTTTTATAGAAACTATTTTTTAACAAAGTTTCCCTAATTAAATAAATTCAGATTATTTTTTTTTTATTTTTATGAGAAAATTGTTCAACTAATTATAATTTGTGGTTTTTTAACTTATATATTTAAAAAAGTCTATCCAATGAGAGCTGAAAATTATTATTAACAGACACAAAATAACATCGTAGTAAAATTAATACCACATCAGATATGCTGGAACAACTATTATTTTGACATGGAATTTTTTTCCTTTCAATGGTAATAAAATAAATACTTTGATATTACTAAAGATTATAAATTAAACTACACTATCCTTTTTTTAATAAATGTTTTCATTATAAAGTTAACGATAAATTTAAATATACCACATATTTTGTTGTTTAAGATTTTTTAATGAATAGGGTAACTCGTCTAATTAACAAACAATTAAATGAAACATATATCAAGTATCAAAATGACATGACAGATATATTATTTTGGGTTGACTTTTAAATATGAATTAATTATTTTATTCAAAAAAGTAAAACACTACTTTAATTCACTTGTAATACAAATATTTTAGTCAAATAATAACCAACATACTGAAAAATGTTAATTAGTTGAATGAAATAATTTCTTAGTATATTTTATGCTCAATCGGTTGTACTGTTGCAGCAAGAATTATTTTTCTTTATTTTCGTGTTTTTCCTCTGTTTAATTGATTTCAACAAAACAGGGAATAAGACATTATGTACCGTTACAATCTATAGAAAATTAAAAAATAATTATTGAAAATACTTTTATATAACTTATTTCAAGTCATAATTTAACAATATTATATCATAATATTGACTTCAGTTAATAGATATGTAGGGGTTTTATACCAAGCCATTAGACTGCAAAGCACGTCTTCATTAGACTAGACACTGTTAGGTTAGAGTAGGGTGTAGATTATGGTGGCATCAAAAATCGAATGTCTTATTTTTGTTTACGCTAAACCTTAATTTTTTTTTTAATACTATAAAAATGAGCTATGGAAAATTTTGGACCGATTCCTTAAGGGTTAACCCGTGCTCCCAAACCTCTTAAATTAAGTTAATGAGACAATTTTAATAAAAATAACTTATTTATGTTTCATAACATTTTTTTTACTTAACTTAGAATTATAAAAGTAAATATATTAAAAATTGGTCATTTGTGGCTAATATTATTTAACACGAGATATCCTCTTATGTCTCTTTTGGGTACTCCTCATTCAGTAATTTTTCAAAATACTCTCCGCATTTTTTCACATTATCATCACTCAAAAGTACCTTATTGTCAACACTTTTTATACAACTTATATAATGATAATCTTTAGACCTTTTCTTTCTTACCTTTTCAAGTCTATAGAATTCTTTCTCGCCTTCCTTTGTTCCAAGCCTATCATACAACTCATCATAACTCTTAAACTTCACCTTACTTACTGCACACTTGGCTTCTTTGCACAAGCGTTTATACTCCATCCAATCTTCTCTCTTTATGCTCTTCTGCCATACTTTGAATTTCTTTTTCTTACTTTCTATGATTTTTTAACGTCCTCATCCCACCATCAGGTTTCCTTGTTTCCTGGCATTCTACTCCTACTCTCACCAACAATCTCCTCTGCAGTATTTTTTACACAACTAGCAAATCTATTCCACACATCAATTATGTCTCTCTCGACATTCCACACCGTTCTCTCTTTTACCGTGTTTACAATCTCTTTTTCATTTTCCCCTTTCAATTTCCACCACCGGATCTTCGATATTTACTCCGTGTTTCTTCTATTTTTATTTATTCTCTTTCCGGTACACCACAACTCCATTAACATCAGTCTATGTTGTGTAGTTACACTCTCGCCTGGTGTAACTTTACAATCTTTTACTGGATTTGCGCTCTGTCTTTTCCACATAAAATAATCAATCTGTGATCTATTCCTCCTTCTCTTATAAGTTATATAATGTTCTTCCTTCTTTCTAAAATAAGTATTAACCACAGCAAGATCATACGATACTGCGAAATCCAGGATTCTTTCTCTAGCCTCATTCATCCCACTAAAACCATACCCTTTATGTACTCTTTCATATCCTCTCATCACATTATCTACATGTCCATTCATATCTACACCTATCACCGCATTCTCATTGCCAGGTACCCCTTGCATCACCTCACTCATCTCTTTCCTAAACACTTCCTTTTCTATTTCATCACATCCCACTTATGGTGCATAGACACTGATTACATTCATATTATATATGTACTATAGAAAAATTGTTCAAAATATTTGCCTGAGTTATATGTAATGGATCAAATCCATCCAACTTGTAAAAACCCTAAAATTATAATTTCAGGGTTTTATTGTTATGAATAATTTATAAGTTTAACTCAAAAAAATTATATCATAACTATTTTTAATTTTACTTACAGGTTTCAAGGAACAATCAGTAAAATGGTGCTTCAAAACTTACTCATTCCACTCATTTCCATATAGAAATTTCATACTTGAACATGCACCTTTATTTATGTAAACAAAAGCATTGTCTTTCCATCTGCCAATTTTCGACTAAACAGCCATGTTAAAGTTGAACTTTTATAAGAAAGAAAACTTTTTCATTACTTAAGTATGACTTAATTTAGTTTTCATTCATAAATGATATTTAATTCAAAAACATTACTTACATATAATTTGTCATCTAACGGGATATTGAAAGTAACATTACCTTTCAAAAAAGTTTGCAGTGAAGTAGACTTTGAAGTATAATATATAAATTCCAAGGGATAATCTATAGAATCATTGCAAATAGATGTAAATTTTCAAAGTTATTTTCTTTTTTTAATAGCAATGCAACTTATATTTTCTAAATGAACCCAAAAACTTACAACTGGAAGATTTGACATGAAGGCTGCTCTTTCATTACAAAATATTGAATTTATTAAACCCAAGACATTTATGACAATAATATTTTTTTAAAAATTGATCCATTTTAAAATTGAAGAGTAAATTAATTTAAATTTTATTATAAGATCAAAATACTACACACAATGTTCTATAAACTATACTACAAATTTAAATATATAATTTTTTAAAAACAATTAATTTTTTAAAAAACTGATCCATTAAACACAATTATCTACTTTACAGTTATCAAAACAGGAAGATAAACTAAAATAATAATATGTAAATATAAATTATGATAATTATTATTATTATTATTTCAATTATATTTTTAAGATAATTATGTTTAGTGATATTTGTATAATTTTTT